GCAGCGCCACCTGGTTGCTGGGAGTTGGTCAGTTCACTACTCTGTCCCTCCATTTTTAACAACCGAACCAAAAATAGCCTAGTAGAGCTTCTGCAGATAGCTCAAGCTGCACCTTTTGGGCAGCAACTGCTAGCTTTGTAGCAGAAAAACACTAAATTAACCTTTGTGCGCACAGGTTTTAGCGTTTTAAGATTGCACGGAATGCCGTGACTGACGCTTAAAATACTATTCCTTTCAGTATTTTAGCAAAAGCTGGTGCGTTGCCGTAGCAACGTCTTACAACACTTGCAGTGTTAAATATGCTAGTTATTCCTTCAGAATATTAGCAAACAGGGTGTTATCAGTCTTTGAGTGAAGGTTTCAGTTAGTTATAATAGCCACTGTGAGTTAAAGTCGCTGAATTAGCAGTTAATTTTAGCCTAAAAGGGTTAGTCAGAATTACTTACACGCTGCACCTTTAATGAGGAACTGAATTTTAACCTAAAAGGTTAGCCAGAATTAATTACACGTTGCACCTTTAAGGAAAAACTGAATTTTAACCTAAAAGGTTAGCCAGAATTAATTACACGTTGCACCTTTAAGGAAAAGCTGAATTTTAACCTAAAAGGTTAGCCAGAATTAATTACACGTTGCACCTTTAAGGAAACTGAATTTTTAACCTAAAAGGTCAACCAGAATTAATTTACACGTTGCACCTTTAAAGAAGCACTGAGTTACTGGTGAGAGTTCGATGCAGCTTCCTGCTCAGCGAAATCAGCACCACTCTGTTGCTGGTTCAAGGCTGAACAACTGATTATTTTTAATTCAAGCTCTTTGGATTTATTTGTTTGTTTGTGCCGGATAGAAATCTCTGTGTATCCAAGCCTCACGCGGGCTGCACCAATAAAATGTTGGGGTTATTAGGAGCGAACAATTAGTAAGCTTCAACTTACTTTTGGATTCTTCAATAAATTCTGTAAATATGGGAATAGTTACTGATTTATTAATTAATTAAGATATTCTTAGATATACGGGGCACCATTCCCCTTTTTCCGGGGAAAAATTGAATCCAAAACTCTTATCAGTCTTTCTTGAAGTTCGTAGAATCCTTGGAGCAGAGACTTCTCTTCGACACAACAAAGCTACTGGAGACGAAAATCTGAATTTTATAACGTTTAATTAACAATTTGTCAAATGAATAAACAGTGGCATAAATGAATAATAACCATGTGATATAATAAAAGGATGTATATTCAAAATAATGTTCAAGGTGTTTTGTGTGTATGTAGGATGTATGAATGGGGTCCTTTGTTCTCACAAAGGAGTAGTGTGTGTGCGTGTGTATGGATTCAAAATGGAGTCTTGAATACAAGATGGCTGACTCCTTTGTCTGGCTAAAGTGTGGGTGGCAACTTGCACTTTAACTTCCAAAGCACTTAGAATCAGTAGTAACTTAACCTTAAATCACTCAAAACATTTCAAAGGATCATGCAACAACACAAAAGATTAATCACGAGTTAATATCCTTAGTTTATCAGCCTGGCCATGGCCGAACATTTAAAGATACCAAACAATGATTAATAAGCAGTTTATTCTTTCAAAATGACCCGAAGGACGAATTTGGAACGAAAGAGGAAAACACGAAGCTACTTTTTTTAAGCAATAGCGCGGTTTTATTGCTTATTCTGGACTATAGAGGAAACGGGAGAAGAAAAGAATGAGAGAAAAATTAGTTTTCTGATCACCAAAAGAGCGAGGCGTCCCTCCCCCTTTTGATTTGACGGTTCTCCGTGTTTCTCCGCAGTTTTCAGCGTCATCCGCCGGTTTGATGCTTTCTCCGTTGTTTGGCTCCACGAGTGTTTCTCCACGGCTGGACACAAAGAAAACGAAGTTCCTTTTGGGCTGAGTTTGACAACTTACAGCGTTTCTGAGAGCTGGATGGAGTTGTTGTTTCCCTCCGCAGTTCTGTGTCCTCAAACATCAGCTGGAGGGGAGCAGAAACGAGCAGATCAGCGGTCCCGTGGGCTCAACTTGGCTCTTAGAGCTTCCGCGTGCTCAAAGAAGTCGGAGCGTTCGACAAGCGTGTCCTCACCGCCAGGTATCCTGGGCAAAAGAACGAGGTTTCTTTGTCTCTGCTGAAGATTTATGGTCTTAGTTCGCGGGGAAAGCTCCACGGCTTCCCGCACATGCGCAGAACGTGTTTCTGGTACTAGGCGGTGACATCATCCCAATGCTTCCGTGTGCAAAGCATCATGGGAAATGAAGTTTCTTGGCGCTGATGTGATTATTTGCTTTTCAGAGCAATTTAAGCACAGTCATTTTGGAGAAAATCACTGCATAGTAATTTCCTCATGAGGTCAGACCCTCAACAAGACGGAGAAGTAAAAGAGCAAAACGCTTCCGTCAATCCGTGCGTGTCTGTCCCTTGCTGAGCTGATGGAGAAGCATAAACCAGGCTTGAAAGGCATAAAAAGTCACTACAGAGCGGTCACCTCTTCTCGTTGTGCAGCGTTTTCTGCCACACTTTTTCCTTCCCACAAACTTCCCACTGAGGTGCCTTGATGCAGCACTGGGAACAGCCTATTCGTTCAGAAATTTCTTTCTGTGTCTTACCCTCTTGCTTGAGGGTGTCAATGATGGCCTTCTGGACAGCAGTCAGGTTGGCAGTCTTACCCATGATTGCGGTTTAGAGTAATGAACCAGCCTGGGAGTTTTTAAAAGCCTCAGGAATCTTTTGCAGGTGTTAAGAGCAGAGGTGGAAAGAGTACTAAAATTTCCTACTTAAGTACGAGTACCAATACTTTGATAATTTTTTACTCAAGTACAAGTAAAAGTACTTGCCTAAATATTTACTCAAGTAAAAGTAAAAAGTATCATAAACAAAATGTACTCAAAGTAAAAGTTACTTAGTTACATTTTTGTCAGCCTAAGGATGGCTACATCTAAGTAGTGCTAAATCACAACGCCAGTTCACAATTCGCTCGTGTGCGCACACACACACAAACACGCACAGCTTGATGGAAGGATTTCTATCCAATCAGTGAGAACAGGACATGCACACTGATTGGACGAGGTTTTTCTAGGAAGGTAGGTTTCAATTGTGATAAAAATTCTTTAATTTGAGCAAAAAATAATTTTTTTAGATGCCATCAGCATGTGAGGTATCTCAATGTTTTTATGACAAAACTAACATGAGACTGTGCTCTAACCTGTCACATAACAAGCCAAATGCAGTCAAACATTTCAGATGGACCGTATGACAGCTGCTAACGTTGGCCCTGCCCTACTTTACCTCTACATTACAGTTCCTTTATCCATGTCCATCCTAGAGCTCCTCTCTGACCTTCATGCTTATTTAGAGCAGCTGATTTTTAAAGCTAGCAGAGTTCATCCTTGGTAGTGGGTTCACTCACTCATTTAACCCTTCACCACTGAAATCAGTTTGTTCATTCCAATCCTCCTAAATAATCCTCCAATCATCCAACTGGAATCCTTAAGCATCCCGTAACATCCATCCTGTCAGAACAGGTCTTGGGAGCCCAGGTGTTACTAGAACTGTGTCTCCTCACCAGCGTGAGCCTCCAAACTGTGATGGTTGGACTCCAAACATGAACCTGAAATTCATGCATTTATCTCCTCTTGTAAAACTTTAACATGTTTTAAAAGGCTTGCATCATAAGTTACACCTCCCAGACCAAAGATAAGATAAAACATTATCGTAGACACTATTGAGACGTCATTATTTATGAAATAGAAGTTATTTTCCTGAGCCATTACTTCAGCCAATATATAGGATACATGGATTTGATGAAACCACGCTGTCTCATGCAGTTCTATATGTGTAACAAACACACACACACACTGCAGCATGTTAGAATCTTTTGAATGACTAATTTAACTACATTGAACTGCTTTAGTAATAATTTAATCTCTTATTCTGGAGTAAAATAAAGAAACAAGCTAAATCATCACACATCTGTGGCATCAAGAAGCATCTTCTGAGTTCAAACACAGGGATGGAGAACAATGTTTACACCTGAACAGTATCAGGATGTTTTAACTCACAGAGGCCTGCAGGTCTTCTGTTTTATGAGCATAGCGCTGATAATCCACTTGTTAGGAGCGCTAAACGTTATTTTGCCACTGCCGTGCGGAGCGGTAGAGAAACACGTTTCAAACACAGAACCGAGTCCGGCTACCGAACCGAGGAGAATTCTGATGACGTCACACTGGTGCGCGAAGGTGCACGTTCCAACCCACAGGAGAGGGAGAGAGGAGGTAAACAGCGAGTTGAGGGACTGAACCGACGTCTTTGAGCAAAAGTGTACACCCCCCCACGGTTTAGACGCGGCGCTCATGCAGGGGTCTCTTTCCGTTCTGACACGTAATATTTTTAATTTATTAAGCCTATAATTTATTTTTACTCAGTAACGGATGATTTAAAATGTAGCGAATTACAATTCTTTTTTAAAAACTTACTCAAAAGTAAAAGTATAGCTTTTAAAAACGACTTAAAAAGTATAATTATACAAAAAAGCTACTCAATTACAGTAACGTGAGTAAATGTAATTCGTAACTTTCCACCTCTGTTTACTTCTTAAACAACTATGAGTGAGGCAGACTCCAATAAAACCACCAGTTACACATTTAGGTTATTTTATTTTTGACCTCCCACCGAACATCACTTTGTAATACAGCTGAACTTTTATTATTTAATTTTGTTTGTGTAGATTTTCTGAATCAGTGAGGAGGTCCCAGGTCCAGGTGGGAACCCAGACCTCCCTGCCTCCATCACCACTGTCCAGCTCCTCCTGGAACATCTGAAGGTGTTTTCAGACCAGAGACAATTAGTTCTGGTTCTGACCTTGGGCAGATCAAGCCCTGAACTTTGACCCCAGAGACACTTTCTGACAGAAATTGCTTTAACACAAACATCCCAACATGTGATGCACCTACGGGGGACTTCTGCAGCTCTGACCGAACTAAGACACCCAGAAAAGAAACGAGGACTGAGGGCCACGAACGGGCCTGCAGAACAGCAGAAAAAGCTTTTATTTAAATTTGCTGAAGTTGCACAACTCCACAAAGAAAAGACAAGTTTTAGAACATCAATATGAACATAGGATCTCTCAAAGGTACAGCAAAATGTCCCCGGCTCCTCCACAACAAACCCAAACACTAGTCTACACAGAATCAGACCAGAATCCAACAGTTATTGCAGCAAAACCACTTAGAATCAGTGTCTTTGAGTGCATAGAAACTTCCAACTCATCCAACAAATCAACACCAGGACACCTCCATTTGAGACAAGGTGCCTCTCAGGCTAACGCAGCGTCCATCAGAACCAGAGAGGAGGAGCGGTCCAAGTCCGTGATGGAACTCAGGAAAGTTCAGAACAAAAACAGAATGTCACTTTTGCAGCGTGAACTCAGATTGGTTTTGTCCCTCATCCTCTCCCATACTTTGGCGTAATGAAGACAGGGTGAAGTGAAGCAGGCGCAGCGATGCATGGGAGAGTTAGTGTGAAGGAAAGCCTTCTGGTTGTCCTCAGGACATCACATGAGTCACAGGGGTGGGGCTCCATCCTTGCGTCCTCCTGTCTCTGAGACGTCTCCGGGTCCTGGACCCGTTCAGTCATAGGGGCTAAAGTCCCTCTCCAGGTTTTCAGACTCGTCGTCGTCAGAGAAGAAGTCGTCCTCGTCTATTTCGTCCTCATCGTAGTCTTCGTGCCACTCAGGGACGTACTCTTCATCATACTCATCATCTTCCTCCACCTCCTCGCCCCCATCTTCACCCGTGTAGTTGTTGTTGTCTGAGTCTCCAGACTCTGAAGCTCGGTCCGACTTGGTCCTGAAGGACACAAGAGATCAGTGAGATACAACGTGGGCTAAGGACAGGTGAGGACGAGAGCGTCCAGCTGCAGCACTCACACTTTGTTGGTCTCTGTGTGGTTGGACAGACTGGAGGCCTGGTTGGATTCTGGTTCCTGACTTTTGGACTGATACCCAACCCTGAAGTCCTGAACCAGACAGGAGAAAAAGATCCAGTGAAACGGGATTGGGACTGGACTGAACTAGTTTCGGATCAGCGTGAACTGGTTTTGGAATAGACACCTGTGTTGAATGCTGCAGGATTGCCAGAAGACGCTCCTGGATGCGTCGGATCAATTCCAGTCCCGTGTTCAGGTGTTCTGGTTTCAGCAGTCGGACACATGAGGCCAGGTCGGCGCACTGCAGCAACGTCTCCTCTGAAGACAGAAACCAGTTAACACAATCAGACCAGCCTGGAGAACAGCGGCTCTGGTTGTGATGGGGAATCTCACCCAGCAGGATTTGCAAAGCATTTGTGTGAAGGTCCAGAGCCTCCGTCTGCTGCTCCATGACATCCATCTTCTCCGTCTCCTGGTTGTAGTAGCTGTAGACACAGGAGTACGCCAGCACCTGCAGACAGGAAACAGGGCACCATCAGCACACGGCTCTGACATCATCAGAACCCCCGAAGAAGAGAATGGTACCTTCCGAGCCTGAGCGAGGACTTTACAAGCATCAATGACGAAGGTGAGGGACTTCATCTGCAGGGCTTCATTAATGGATGACACTCTGTTCTCCAGATTAACGGCAAAATCCTGCAACACAAACACACACGCACAGTTTTTTTTTGTAAAATAAGATTTTCATTTTTGGACCGGATCCTTAGTGGTTCTGGTAAAATGGAGGACACCAGAGGGAGCTAAGCCAGGAGGGCCAGGCTCTGGATGATCACCAAAGGAACAGGCAACATGCCACAACAGTCTCCAGATGTGCAGTAATCCAGATGCTCCAGGAGACCCTGCAGCCATCAGCATCAAAAAAAAGTCTTTGAAGATTAAAATGTAATCGTACTCTTTATTTACGGTTATTATTACGAGGAACAATACAAGTTACCACATTTAATTTCCCTTTGGGAAGAATAAATTATTTTCAAAAGTGAATAAAATTAACAGATGAATAATCCAATGACAGGTTTTGCTAATTCTAACTGTTTAAATAAAAAATGTCACATGACCACTTCAACCTACGTGTCCCTTTCAGAGTAAAAGCATTCCTGCTACTTCTTAAAGGCTACATTCACACTGCAGGTAAAAGTGCATCTAATCCATTTTCCTCCCACATGCGACCCACAGCTGATTTCTTTGTGACAGTGTGAACAGAGCTTCAAATCCCACCACAGAACTTTGAACATGTCCTTGGGAAAGTGGAGGGCATCGAGTCCGAGTGGGCCATGTTTCGTGCTTCTATTGTTGAGGCAGCTGACCGGAGCCGCAGCCGCAGGGTTGTCGGTGCCCGTCGTGGCGGCAACCCCCGAACTTGCTGGTGGACACTGGCAGTTAGGGATGCTGTCAAGCTGAAGAAAAAGTCCTATCAAGTCTTTTTGGCTTGTGGGATTCCAGAGGCAGCTGATGGATACTGGCAGTCCAAGCTGAATGCAGCTCGTGTGGTCGAGGAGTCAAAAACCCGGGCTATGGCTTTCTATTTCAAGTCTTCCATGAAGAACTCCCAAAGGGTGGCTGATAGTGGGTTTCCCATGGCGAAGCATTCTAGTTGTTTGTATATGGTTCCGTTATATGTGAAGAAAGTGGAGTTAGCTACCAGTTCTATCAAATGTGTTATGTCGTCTGCTGTGAGGTTTGTTATTTTATGTTAAGTTTTGTATTGTCTGATCCTGTTAACTACTATGTTAATGGTTGTCTGGGTTGGTTTTTTTTGTGAACAGGGATGTAACATCATGTGAGATCAGTGTGTCGTCTTCTATTGTCACCTTTTTCTATTCTTTAGCTAGTTCTGTGCTGTTTTGACAGTGTTGATCTGCGTTGCCTAATAGCGGACTGATGATTCTGCTCATCTGTTTTGCCGTGTTATGTCAGTGTTCCCATGCTGTCAACTACTGGTCTCAGTGGATTATTCTGCTTATGTATTTTTGGGGTTCCATAGATTCTTGGAAAGATGTTTGCTGTTGGAATCCATTGTTTATACATTTTTTCTGTTATTTTTCCTTTTTCCTTCACTGGTTTCAATAATTTTTTATGTTCTTTTATCTTCTGTTGGGTCTTTTTCAAAGTTTTGTTTTTATTGTTTTATTTGTTTTTATTTTTCTTTGTCCATTATTACTGTCGTTCTTCCTTTATCTGCTGGTAAAATACTGTGTCTGTTTTTGGTTACTGATGTTACAGCTGCTCTTTCCTTTTTTGTGATTTTGCTGCGTTGTGTTTAGCCATTTTTTAAAATCCCTACTACATTATTTATATATTATTTATTTATAGGAGGATGCGGGCAGTAGAGGGTGACACCATCCTCTGCTGCCAGCAGATAAAAGCAAGTGACACCACAAACATTGGTTATCTTTGATGATGGCTAGAGATACTAGCTGAAACATGTCAGGTAACATATATATATATATTTTTTTACTTAACTCTGTAAACTGGAGTGCAAAAAAAAAAAAGGATAATGAAGATAAATATTGAATAAACGTACAAAAGAGAGCCTCTGTTCTCTGTCTGCTGCCCGGGGCTGGAGGCTAGGAGTGGGAGCTGGCCGTCCAGTTGGGGTCTGGGTCGCTTGCTCTGCCTTGGGTGGTGATGCTGGCTCATCATTGCCCCGTTAAGAACGGGATCAGTTCTGGTGTCCAGGACTGGTTGTGACCTTTGCACAACATTACCTGGACCAGTGTGAGTAGGGTGTGTATGGGGAGCGTGAGTATGGAGAGTGTGAGTGGGAGTATGACGTACATTGTTGTTCGTCTTTAGGTTGTATGTGTTTATGTGTGAGAATGAGGGAGGGAGCATATGACTGTCTGTCAGGTGGGGTCTTGGACTCCTCCCTTATCCTGGGACATCTTGTGGCGCTACTTCATATTCACCGGGTCTACATCATCCTAACCCGGGTCATTGACATGAATCTGTTTTGAAACTGAATGCTTGATTGATGAGACGTTCCTCTGGTTCTCATCTTAATCTTCATTTTGCCAGTCTCTTGTTGTCATGGGCTGCTATCATGTTGATGGGAAGGTAGCGCTGGCCAGCCATTGGCATCTGTGATTTCTAGATATGAAGCTGTGGATGGAGCAGCTTGTCCTTCTCTCATTCCCCAGGGACCTGATTTACTCTTTGGCTTGGCACCAAGGGTATTCCAAGGAGGACTGTTCACAGATTTATCAAGAGGCAGAGTGCCCTCTGACCTCTCTGTTGGAGTGGTTGCTGCTTAATGGCTGTGTGCCACTGTCCGTTTGTCCAGCGACCTGAGTAGATGAGAGCAGTAGCGGTTTTAGGCACGGGCAGACAGGGCAGTTGCCCGGGGCGGCATTTTTTCATGACACAAAAGGGGCGCACAAGCGCGGAGTGAAAAATAAAAAAGAAAGAAATCTGCGCCGCATCGAGCTTTTCTACTATCTGTCATATCACAGTGTCTGAATTGGAAACAGCAAGTTGGCGCCCCCTGCAGCTGCAGGCGCTCCTGCTGACTGAGAGGGTTCAGGTGCTCCGTGTGTGTATGAAGAAGAGGCAGGGGAGGGGTGCGGCGGGGGAATTCACCTCTGGGTCTTTCCCAAATGAAATGAGCGGGTAGGGGCTGAATCAACTGTATTAACATGGCTAAAGTCAATCACATCTTGATGTTCTTCCAGTTAACGCACATTTCATTCATAATATCATAAACACAGGCCTATCATTCTTTCAGGTGTTTCTGAATTGTGTGAAATGGCCAAATAAAAAAAGGAAAAACAAAACGATTTTGTGGTCACCCCCCCATCAAGGTCAAATGGTTTAGTCCTGACTAAAGGAAATTTATTGAGTCAAGAGCCAAACAGAAGAGATGAACATAAAAAGGCTAAAACCACCAGGTGCCCCATTCAGGAAGAAAAAAAAAAAGAGGAGAAAGATAAAGGTATGTACGCGCTCATGATGCATGTTTTCAATTTTTGAACCAGTTAACTGGGATTTTAACGGTTAAATTCGGTCAACTAATTGCTAACAGAGCTAATAGGACTGAAATATTGAAACGAATATTCAAATGGTTCGAAAAAAGTCCTTGAATCGTTTTTTACTGATTCAAACTAGGATTTGTTAAATGCTCGCTGCAGCCTGTGGCCTGCCTGAACAACAACAAACACATGTTAATCATGTTCACATAATAATAAATAAAACAACTCTACAAGCAGAAGAAAACTCCCCAGTCACCACTAACTATCCTGTTTATTTATTGCAGATGGCTGCACTGATTATTTTTTACATGATTTGTTCTGTAAAAGTTGGCATTTTTGGTAGTCTACAGTTTTTTTTACGTCAGTTTAAATTACAATTTCAGAGGCAAATCTAAAATATTATGGATCATGATAAAGATCTATTGGAGATCTACCCCAACTTTTGGACTGCTCTGCCAGTCACTGTGGCTCAAGCTGAGAGGAGCTTTTCAAAACTTGATCAAGTCATACCTGAGGTCAACTATGTTTCAGGGGCGGCTCACTAACCTGGCTCTGATTAGTATCAATCACTCAGTAGGGGAGCAGATTTCATATGATGACATTATTGATGACATTGCATCAAGGTTGGGTTTTAATTTTAGTTTGTGTTTTCTGTTCTAAGTGCAATGCTGTAGTGATTATCTTTAGTTTGTTATGTGTGAAATATTTATGCTATTTAGAATATTTATTATCTATTATGTTCATATATTCTTAATAGTTAGTTATAGTTTGTTTTTGTATTTTTGATTCTATTTATTTTGATACAGTATATAATGTATATTGCTTTACATTCTGACAACTTCATAGTAATTAATGTAAATATGTGCAACTTAGAAAAATGAATGTTTAATAGTCGTTCTAATAAAACATGCCTGTTTGTAGAAAACATGCGTGTGTTCATGCAGGTGGTAGTGGTGGTGTGTGTGTGTGTGTGTATGTGGCGGGGGGCACGCGCTCAGAGGGGGCCTCGCCCGGGGAGTAATTCCATGTAGAACCGCCACTGGATGTGAGGGTGTCGTGATTTCCAAACAATCCATTTACTTCCCAGTTGACTTGTAGTCGAGAGATTTTTGTTTCAAGAACTGTGATATTTTTGGGAAGTCGCCTGAGGAAAAGGAAGCCATCGTGTTGCGGTAGATCTGCTGGGAGATTTCAGCTGGTCACAAATCAAGGACGTAGTAAAAAATACTGTTGTAGATTTCTCTGTCAATTAGATCCCAGCGATTTATAGGAGTCCAGTGGTCACTGAGTAGAAAGGTTGGTAGGAAAACGGCAATCTCAGTGAAAAAGAAAATAAAGAGAAGAAATGTAATCAAGCAGGAGTGAAGCAGACAAGCGTCTGCACTGTAGTGAAGCTAGTTAAGTAACGGAGTGTGTTTGTCAACATGTGCTCCTTTTTTCTTGTTAGTTCGGCTCCTTGTATGTTTCTGTGAAAATGTAAGCCTGAAGTCAGGAGCATTTTTGTTCAATAAATCCTTTATTTGCCTGTCACGTGTTCTCCATGTTACGCCTGGTCTCCTAGACGTCTGGATCGTAACACAGCTCACAACAGGATACTTGGCATGGATGAACTGTAACCCCAAGATTCCACTACCTCCGCTCCGCCCCCGCCTTCCGCAGCCGCTCGCTTCCGAACTCAATTTTTACTGCTACCCGCTCTACAACGGCTCCGCTCCGGTGCGGAGACCTGAGGTGGGCAAACAAGCATGCGCAGGATTTTCGAGATCTTGCGATACAGTCCGAGCAAAAAACGCAGAAGTTAGATCCAAACACCCGTTGTGTGGGAGAAGCATCGAAATGAACTGTTTAATCTGCCCATCATTTGTGTTGAGAGATCAGCAGTGTTTGGATCAACAAAGTGTGACTACTTTGATAGTAGAAACTGTATTTATGGCTTACTTTTGTGCATTTAAAGTTCAGCCGCCATTGATAGCTGTTAAAAGTTGTTAAACCTGTGCATATGAAACAAAAAATGTTTTTTTTTTTTATCGATTTATTGTGAAATAACGTAAGTTGTGCTTGCTCCCTTTCCTGTTGGGCGGTTGTGATTTCTGTCCATTGACTGCGGAGGTGCTCCGGCGTCCGGCAAAAACAGAATCGATCCTATTTTTGCCGGATGGCGGAACGGCGGGCGGCGCACTGCGCCGCACGGCCGCAGTAGTGGAACAGCTCTGATTGACTACAACGGGACCGATTTCGCTGCGGAGTTCGTGCCGGAGCGGAGCGCAGCGGAGCGGAGCGGAGGTAGTGGAATCTTGGGGTAAGTGAAGTCCTTCAGTTCACATCTCCACCTATCCTAGTTCCAACTGCGCTGAGTGGGACTTCTTGTCCTCTTCTGCACATGTGGGTCGCTTTAGGGCCGTGAACGCTAGAGTGTGTTTGGTGTCACATCATTGTTATTATGTGAACCACCACACAAAAAAATCTGAATTGAGCATTAAGACCTGCAGCGTGAACATAACCTTGGTGAGAGTGGAAAAGTGAATGACACAGTTATAGGTTTGGGTCTGTTATGGACTCAGACAGTACCTTGGCTTGATGGTGGAACGTGCATCTCTCATTGTAGTCCTGGAACTTCTTCTCCTGCCGAGCAGCTTTGCTCACCTGCGGGAGACAAACATGACTCACCATTAGAATACCGCTCTAAGGAGCTCAGAAGCCAGAGGGTTTTAGTCTTTAAGGCCGAGATGTTGATTCATCATTTTGTTCCAATATAAAGCATGCAGAAAATAATGAAACCACAAGTAAACTAGTTGCTTGTCTTCGAAAAAATTAAAGGGGTCATCATGTCACAATGTGTGAACGCACCATGGCGGAGCAGTTGTAGTAATCTTTGTGGGTCGGTTTCCAGGGTTTGAGACAGCGCCAACAGAAACCATGATTACATTTGGCACAGGTCATGCTGAGAATGAATGAGAAGCTTCATCATCATCATCATCATCACAACCACCATCACCATCGTCATCACCACCACCATCATCATCATCACCACCACCTTCACCATTATCATCATCATCATCACCACCACCATTGTATAAATGATAAATGACCCGCACTTGTATAGCACCTCTCAGAGTAAGAACTCCGAAGCACGTTACACTACAGTGTACCATTCACCCATTCACACACTGATGGTGATGAGCTACGATGTAGCCACAGCTGCCCTGGGGCACAATGACAGAGGAGAGACTGCAGAGCACAGGCGCCACCAGTCCCTCCGACCACCACCAGCAGGCAAGGTGGGTTAAGTGTATTGCCCAAGGACACAACAGCAGAATTCTGTGTCCGGAGCCGGGATCGAACCTGCAACCTTTCGATTACTGGACAACCCGCTCAACCTGTTGAGCTACAGCTGACCCATCATCATCATCATCATCACCACCACCACCATTATCACCATCATCTTCATCCTCATCCCCACCACCACCATCATCACCATTATCACCATCATCATCATCACCACCACCACCATTATCACCATCATCTTCATCCTCATCCCCACCACCACCATCATCACCATTATCACCATCATCATCATCACCACCACCACCATTATCACCATCATCTTCATCCTCATCCCCACCACCACCATCATCACCATTATCACCAACATCATCATGACCACCATCATCATCATCACCACGGCCATGATCATCATCACCTTCACCACCACCTTCATCGTCACCATTATCATCATCATCACAGCCATCATTACCACCATCACCGCCTCCATCATCACCAACATCACCACCATCATCATCATCACCACCATCACCATCATCACCACCATCATCATCATCACCATCACCACCTCCATCATCATCATCATCATCACCATTATCACCATCATCATGACCACCATCATCATCATCATCATCACCACGGCCATGATCATCATCACCTTCACCACCACCTTCATCGTCACCATTATCATCATCATCACAGCCATCATTACCACCATCACCGCCTCCATCATCACCAACATCACCACCATCATCATCATCACCACCATCACCATCATCACCACCATCATCATCATCATCATCACCATCACCACCTCCATCATCATCATCATCATCACCATTATCACCATCATCATGACCACCATCATCATCATCATCATCATCATCACCACGGCCATGATCATCATCACCTTCACCACCACCTTCATCGTCACCATTATCATCATCATCACAGCCATCATTACCACCATCACCGCCTCCATCATCACCAACATCACCACCATCATCATCATCACCACCATCACCATCATCATCATCATCATCATCACCATCACCACCTCCATCATCATCATCATCATCACCATTATCACCATCATCATGACCACCATCATCATCACCACGGCCATGATCATCATCACCTTCACCTCCACCTTCATCGTCACCATTATCATCATCATCACAGCCATCATTACCACCATTACAGCCTCCATCATCACCACCATCACGACCAGTATCACCTTCACCACCACCATCATCATCATCATCACCAACATCACCACCATTATCACCATCATCATCATCACCACGATCATCATCACCTTCACCACCACCATCATCATCATCACCAACATCACCACCACCACCATCATCACCATCATCTTCATTCTCATCACCACCACCACCACCACCATCATCATCATCATCACCACCACCACCTCCATCATCACCATTATCATCATCATCACCACCATTATCATCATCATCATCATCACCACCACCACCACCACCATTATCATCATCATCATCATCACCACCACCACCACCATCATCATCATCACCACCACCACGACCTGCATCATTATCACCATCCTGACGTACTGTAGACAGCCTTCATTCTTCTCAATTTGAGACTGACAGCTTGGGCAGCGCTTGGAGATCAGTTTGGCAAGATGTTTGCTTTGGGCCTCCATGCTCATCCCCTCATAGAACCCTCCATCATCCATCCACTGAGACATATGGCTGCAGCTGGCTGGGTAATGGGCCTGAAATAACAGAACACATACCTTTAAAATGTTGACCATTAAGACTTCAACAGTTTTCTGACTTGAATGTTTTCCTTCTACAGTTTTATCACAGAGCTGCTGAACTCCCAGGAGTAACTTGTACTCTGTGAAAAAGCACTCCAAGATAAAGATCCCATGTCCAGTGGGAATCCATACTCACACTGCTGATACTAAAATAATGTTTGATGTCAAAATAAATTATTATTTTATCTAGAAAAGAAAATGAAATAACTGCTTTTATGTCAGCTGAATTTAAGTTCAGCCTAAAAGGGACAGGACATTTTAAAAGTATCAAATTAAAGTTCGTTCGGAGGTTGATCCAAACATGTTTTTTTAAGTTCTTTGCACTAAATCCCTTTAATATAAAGTAATTTCAGCAGTTGTATTCTTGACATTTCCAGTACCTTCCAGAATGAGTCAAGTCAGCACTCTGTCATTTTAAAGGTCAATGATGTAAGAATGATATTAAAAATGTTTTTTCTTCTTCTTCTGATTATTAGCACCGTGAGCTCATTATGAGCCTGTTACCTTCTTTACCCGATATTAGAGTAAAACTAAAACTTCTTAGGGTTGCAAGGAAAATCTGCTGGGCTCCTCCTTCTATTGGCATACATCTTTTTTCACAACTCGGTTGCTTTTTGCGGGCTAGTGCTGAATTAGAAATGCCAATGCAGCCGTGTTTGCCAGTGCCCATCTGGCAACCCTGTGGGCTGTGGGTGAGACAAATAAATGTTTATGCAACTGTGTGATTACGCCCATGTGTGAATAAAACTATGCAACGAAGCTGAGGGATTTTGAGTCAGCTTGGAAACACACACACGCCGTTGTGTGTTCCACCTGGCTCCCTTTCTGCTGAAGTGTAATCTGAAAAACAAAACGGTTTTCCAACCTGAGTTCTTGGTCCATGTTAATAAGATAAAATTTACCCAACATCTTGGTGGCCCGTACGGGGATTGCAACATGTCCATTCGAAAACCAAAATCACTTTTTAACGCTGCCGCAATTTTGACACATGGGCCTATTCTTGTGTCAACAGGGGGGATGGAACAGCTAATAAACAAGTACTTTCAATCATACAATTTAATAACCGTCTTAAAAATGTTTTTGCAAGATTGTCTGTAATTCTGTTTCAGAAAACATGAGGGAAAACAATTTAGCAACTTCTGAGTCACAATCCTCATCCGCCTCCAAATTAGACCAGAATCACAAATATTTCAACTCAAATTCAATGCGGAGGCCTTTATAAATGAAACTCATACACACACAACCAGACAGTAAACCTGACCAGAACCAATATTCCACAGTCTAGTCCTCTTTTCTTTTAAATTAATGTGCTGTTTTATTTACATTAAGTTCTGTCTGTTACAGACTACAATGAGTGTGAAAACACGAACATTACAGATTTAATTTGTAATTTTTAAAAAAAAATTTTTTATATAGCACATTTAAAACGTAGCATGGGAGCTGCCCAAAGTGCTGCACAGGCTAAACCAAAACACAACCAATCCAAGCAACTAAAACAGAAGATAAAAAGCAGATAAAACATGAGGAATACCAAGAACACATTAAAACACTAAAACGAGTCACTGTCTAAAAGCCACATCATAGAAGTGGGTCTTTAAACGAGATTTAAAAACCGCCAATGATGGAGCCTGCCGAACTATAATGGGTAACGAGTTCCACAGCTTTGGGGCAGCATGGACAAATGCTCATTTGTTCAAATCATCGGACTTCATGACTGACGTGCATCTTCTCTTAACTTGCCAAAAGAAAATAATCTTCCTGATAACCACAAATCTCAGACTGTTGATAATTTGCTCTGATTCCGTGACATAGACATTTTTTCCAATAATTCATCAGAGATAATCTCTGGTCTCTGACTGCAGCAGCTACCTGCAGGAGTGCTTCTACCCAGCCTTTTAATGGATCTGCACACTGGAAGCTGGAAGCAGCTGCAATACAAACATTAGGTCATTTTTTATTATTGTGATATTTGTGCTGAACTAAAATGCCAGACAGAATGAAATGTTGTCCTTAATACCGGTTTATTAGAGTAGCGTAAAAAATGGCTGAGATAACTTTGAGGTTCTGAACAACGTCTCAGGAACAGTAGTAACATTAGGCTACATCACAATCAGAGGTCAAATCACTGGGGAGCTAAGGGGAGCCCGGCTTACCCGGAAGGGTGACAAGCTTCCCTGGAAGCCCTTAACTCACTCACCCAGGGGAGCCTGAAAAAAAACCTGGTTCTACTTATATTACATTATTTATGTGCACTCTCCGGGGATTCTTTGGAGCTGAGAGGACGCAGAGCGCTGATTGTTGCGCTCCAGACAGCTGCATCCAGCGCACGGCTACAGTAACATTCTCAAAGTGTCGCCACCCCAAAAAATAATTCACACACTATCATTTATACCCTTTGGGATTATTCTATCCGTGGATATACAAACTGCTACTGTTTCTGCTTCAAATTATTCCCTCCACGTGGATATCTTAATGATCTGCTGACTGCTGAATTGTGTGCTTTCAAAGGAAATTACCCTCTGCCTGGGATCCTATACATTGATCTCTCGATGGGATCCTTCAGGACTCTAGTTGTTCAACGCCAGGTGGTCTCTGATCGGACCACCGTGCCCTTGAAAAGGGGGGTCTGTAGCATCATGAAGGAACCGTTTTCTGACCTAAAGGTCCCCTCTCCTCAGGAAGAACTAATCTCCTTCAGCTCAAGGCCTCTTGATGCCTCTGCATCTAAACTGCTTTAACTAGCTATTTGCCTCCCCCTACAGCTCAAGAGAAAGAAGATCAAAACTTTTTCTTCTATTAAATAATGATCAAATACCTGTGTTAGTCCAAATAATCATGTAAAACTCAATGTTAAATCAATCTGTGAAATGAGAATAATAATTACTTGATATTATAATCCTATGATAGTATTTTAATAAGTAATACTTTTAAACTACACACTAGACTGATTACACGTAATGTTAATCACATGACACATTCCTTTGTCTCTGCAATCAGAGCTTTCCTTTCTGACGCGTGGCGTGATCTGTGAGGTGTTTATATTTGTTGTCCAATTTTGATTCAACCATAAATCAAAACATCTGAATTATAAAACTAATTCCCACGTCACCATAAACTCAGTCCAAACGTTCTAGAGCTGCGAGCCGGCCACTCGTAACTTTTTAACCACAAAGAACCTAACGACAAGCTGGAAAATAAACCTGTTGCAAGCTCCACCTGAAGCAATGCTCCTTCAGAGTAAAAGCTGAACTCACTGACCCTTCAGGGTCCCGCTGACGCTGTCAACCAACTGCCGCTTACCTGGAGGCATTCCAAGACTAGTCTGTCGTACTGTACACTGTTTCATCGGCTAAGGTACCAAAGAGGGGTTCGAGAACCTGGCATTCTGGATCTACACGGAGGTCTCCGCAAGGGTATGTAGCTCAGCAAGATAGCGTCTGAATGTGGTTTTTGAAACTCCGACTATAGTTTAGAGCAAAACCTTCGCTCCCACACAGAACTAAGGCTTCTCCGGAAACGAGAGTTCTGATAACAACATTCCTCCTTTACACCCTCCATTTTGCCTCATTCACCTAGATGCATTCATCACAGTGTTTAGAGTTAAAGTTAAGAGTTAGCCTTGTTTTGAATTGTTTAGAAATAAATCTTCTTAAACTTTTAAACTAGTCTCTCTCTCTCTTTTTGACTCTGGGCTATTACGAAGTGTTACCTAATCCCTGCAATAAAAAGTTCCGATCTTCTGATTAAAGGTAGTATTCAAAGATACATCAAATTGATTCCATATTTTCTATGGAATCTCACCATTGTTGGTTTCCTACATAAGATGTAACTATTGATACTCTACACCATTATATCTGCGAACTACCTCATTCCTATTCCCTTATGTACTTTACTAACTCAATGTAATACTGTCTGTTTGCAATAACCTGTAACATTTAGGGTGGTCTAAGCAGGTCTACATAGACAATGAAGCTCCATGTCTCAATAAGATTTGCTTGTATAAATAAAGGTTTTGAATGGAAGAATAACCGTTCCAGAACTTTAGATTCTTACAAACTCAGATCTGACTCAGACATTTGGATTCTTACAGATGATCAGCTGATGTAAACAAAATGTGTTCATCTGAGGAGAAGGAGTCTGATTCTGCAGTGCTCTGGCTACAGGTGTGTGTGTGTGTGTGTGTGTGTGTGTGTGACCACAGACCTCGGGGAAGTTGCAGCTGAAGCAGGAGGACCAGCAGCACCTGGAGCAGGTCCCCATGCTGCCCATGTTCTCCTTGCAGAGGATCTGGTCACAGCCCTGCGGGTTGGTGCACCATGTCAGGTTGGAGCAGCTCTCCACGTAGCCTCGAAGCAGTGCCTTCTCGTACTGACCAATGAGAGCACAGCATTAGAGACCCAATCCAATCCAGATTTATTTATATAGCACATGTAACAACAGCATGACAGCTGACCAAAGCGCTTGACTTAAAAAGCAAACAAGATAGAATAGTCAAATCAAGAGGAAGAAAAGAAGTGAGTAAAACAACACAAGGGAAATATCTGGTAATGGCTAAAAACTTCAGTAAAATAAACTAAAAATGTGCTAAAAACAACATAAAAATACTAAAAACATTTAAAAAGAGAGAACAAAGTGCAAAACGATAAACCTTGTTAACAATCAGGCCAGCTACAGTTCTGTCCATAGGATCGTGTACCAAAGTGATGGTGAAGTGGGGGCTTTTGAGAGCAGATTTAAACAGATATACAGATGTGGCCGAACAAACCGACAGTGGCAGGCTATTCCAGAGCTGCGTGAACAAATGCATGTTCACCACGAGTCTTGTACCGCATTTTTGGAACACACAGCAAGAGTTTGTCAGCCGAGCAAAAAGACCTAGAGGGAATAGAGGAATCGAGTTCTGCTAGATAACCGGGAGCCATTGTAACCCAGAAGCTAGAACCTTAATGAGGTATTAACTGATTGGCTTACTAATATGATCCATCCTCAATTTAGATAAAATATAAAATATAAATTAAGGAAATTAACAATACTAATTAATAGCTATCTAATTAACTAATAGATAATTTCATAATGAATTATTGGAAGGGTGAATAACTAAAATAACGAGTTTAATATTAAACATCGGTTAAAACAAGAATCTTGAACATCACTAACAGAAACAGAAGAGGAAAGCTGTATACTATTGGTCCAGGTGGGAATCTGAAATTTCATTGGCTGAGAGAAATAAGTCCCGCCTCCGCGAAATAAAACCGTGCGACGCAGCTGAGCGAGAGGAGAGACAAACGGCTGTGCAGCACGCAGATACAGAAAGCAAAGACTGAGCGGTTAGAGAGAGAGAGAGAGAGAGAAAAAAAACAACGGTCGAGGCCGTGAAGAACCCTGATTTGGGTGCCGCATAGATAGAGGGAGAGGCGGACTTGACTCCTTCTAATAAGAGCTAGGAACTTGGAACCAACGCGGTGAGTAAAGAAAAAAGAAGAGAAAAAGCTAACGATGCAACTTAAAAAAAAAAAGGAAACTTAAATAGCTTATCAAATTAATTCCATTCTTATAGATTTGTGTGGAGACGACAGAGTGAACCAATCCTCTGTAGGAGGGAACCGTTGGAGCGCGTTGGTGAGTGAATGAGATTAAATTCAGTAAATTATTAAATTCAAAAAGCTAATTACAGCAACCGAGGTGACAGCAGTGGGCTGCTAGACGTTAGATCCCAGGAGTTAACATCTCAAACTACCAGTTAACGGTGGTACGGCCTAGATGTACAAGGTCCTCAGGGGCGTTATAGCTAACGCCATAGAATTAGCAATGCGTCCCTTAACCACCTTAACCAAACATTTAATAATAAAAAAAAATAGATAAATAAAAATAAATAAAAGCTAACTGATTAGGGAGGAATTATTTTACAAAGGTGGACCAAAGGACCAGAATTTATATTTTGTTTAATTTTGTTATAGAAAATTTTATTTATTTATTTATTTATTTGTTTGTTTATTTATTTATTTATTTATTTATTTATTGTGTTACAGATATACAAGGTGTCACAATGCTGTATAGAAACACAACTAAATGTATCCTTGTTGTCATGAATGTATTTCTTGTCGAATAGTGTAGAGTAATAGAATCTAACTGAGCCTATTGAGCTGAACAATTGTTGTCATATGTAATTATATTTCCAGAGCTACTGAGAATTATTTTAATAGACAATCAAATTGATGTTATGTTAGTTGAACTGTGAACCCAAACATGATTGGCTATGCCAATAGAGTGAAGCATTTGTTTAAGTCTGTAAGACTTTATGCTGTGATGTGACGAGAAGGGTCGATGCCAACTCGCTAACAGTCCTGTTGTTTACAGGCTGGGTTTTTTTTTTTCCTTGGGTTTGATCCCGACTCCTATGATCACTCACTTGGAACGAGAACTGGATTTCTTCCTGACGAGGGAGATGGCGAGCCTTAACCACTGAACGAACCAGGACATCTCAAGTAACTGAAGAGCAGACTGCTCTCTTCTGTGAACAATCTCAACGGTGTGGTAGGAAAAAATTGCACCACCGGACTCTGACTTTCACCCCAAGCGTGGGGATTTGACTTGACGCCGGCTGACTTGTGACTCATATGATCAAATCTCATACCGACCATTTTACTATTGTCGATTGTTTTCATCTGTTTTTGTGTGTTATCTTTATGTGTTATATTTCCCATTATTATTAAAATTTAGTATATAAACCGTTTCATGCTATACCCGTGACTCCAGTCATTCTTAAACAACCTCCAATTCTCCCCGAACCTAATTATTGGCCCACTTGTTTATTTTTTCTTTTAATTATCTTATTGTATCCTGTAATCCGGTTACATAAAACTTGGCGAGCCAGCCAGGAGAATTGTAGAGTTGTTACCTTAGCTAACCATTGACTGACATCATAAGAGTGCCTGGAGGTCACAGTGGTTTGCCATTTTGGCATTATTGGTACTTTTGAGTGTTTTAAAATGGAAGTTGTAAAAACAGAAAAGGTCAAGGTTTCAAATGCTGTTTTAATCAGTGGGTTAACTGATACAGACCTTGATAACGAAGTCTTTGGGTTTATGGAAGGATTCGGACCAGTTAACAGGCGCATTAAGTTACCAAACTGTGATCAGATTATTGTGGAGTTTCAACATGAAGCCACTGTTAAGGAATTAAAGAAACAATGTTTACCCTATGACAAACCTTGTACTAGGAACCCAGATGTTTTCTTTCATATTCAAGACCTAGCCAGCGCGTACAGTCTAGAAACTAGCACATCTGCCACTGATGCCTATCTGTCAGAGCTCAGGGACATAGCTGCGCGTAGCAATCAATCATTTAAAGACCTTCTAATGGAGGAACTGGCAAAAATTGGGGAATCTTTAGGAAGGGATACCCATGCATCTGAACCAGTCACTGAACCAGAGCCAATGCTCCATAGTGACCAAGTTACATATTCCCTGCCTTTAACACCAGAAGTTAACTATATGAACAACTCAAAGGACAATTGTCCACCTACAGAGACTGGAAAACAAAACCCTTGCATTCCACCAAATCTTTTAAACACACCTGAGGTTCAGCGAGTTATTGTGGAACACATTGTTAAAAGCAGTGAGGTTATCCCTCCGCCTACTTCACAATACAGACTAAAACCGTTCTCAGGGCGAGTTCCACACCCTTCTTTTGAAACTGACTATGATACTTGGCGTAGTAGTGTAGTGTTATGCATAAATGATCCTTCACTCACCAAGTCCCAAATTGTACGAAGAATCGTGGAGAGTCTGTCAGCCCCAGCAGCGAGCATCGTTAAAGCTCTTAGTCCAAAATCCGACCCGGAAACGTACCTTGAACATCTCGATTCAGCTTACGCAGCTGTCGAAGACGGCGACGAGCTCTTTGCTCGCTTCTTAAACACAAACCAGGACAGTGGTGAAAAACCTTCCGATTACTTTCAGAGGTTATACACCTTGTTAAACCTAGTTATTCAGAGGAATGGAATTTCCTCCAGTGATGCCGACCAGCAGCTGCTCAAGCAGTTTTGCAGAGGCTGTTGGGACAGCTCGCTGATTTCAAACCTGCAACTCGAACAAAAGAAAGACAACCCGCCTCATTTTACAGCACTTCTCCTCAAACTGCGCACTGAAGAAGACAAACAGGCTACTAAAGCAGCACGCATGAAACAACACTTAGGGGCACAACGAACTAGAGTGTATTCAAATGTGCAAACAACATGCTCTCAGAGTAAAAACACTTGTGAACTGGAAATAGATGATAACTGTGATGACTTACGCAAACAAATCGCTGAGCTCAGGAGCCAAATTGCACAGCTTAAGGTTAACAACACAGATAAAAAGGCAAAGAAAACTCAAAAAGAGTCAAAACCCCGTGTGGGGACTAAAATTCCAGATGAGCCCAAACAGATTCAGCAGATAACAGCAGTGGTGCCCAGACCAAAGCCTGGATACTGTTTTAAGTGCGGAGAAGATGGGCACATAGCTTCTAGCTGTAGCAACGAGCCAAATCCAGCACTAGTTGCAACTAAAAGACTTGCTCTTAGACAGAAGCAGCGCGAGTGGGAGATGTCAAAGCCAATTGCTCAGTCTCCTCCTTTAAACCGGTAGAAGCTCCTATCGTGGGACAGATAGGTGCTAAAGTAGAACCAAGTCCCTCTAAGGAAAGGACAGAGAGACTTTTTTGCAAGCCAGTTCATGCTCATTCAGTGCCAAAACTTCCCAAAAGATTAGTGGGTGGGCGATGCACAGCTACAGTCTCAGTTAACAGTGTTGAATGTAATTGTTTACTGGATTCAGGGTCCCAGGTAACCACCATTGCCAATTATTTTTACCAAGAACACTTACCTGACCTCTCAATTAAACCCATCAGTAATCTGTTAGAAGTCGAGGGCGCAAACGGTCAAGCAGTTCCTTATTTAGGATACATAGAGATAAGTGTCACATTTCCAAAAGAGCTCGATCAGTCTGGACTTGAGTTACCTACCCTTGCGTTAGTGGTTCCGGATATAAGCTCAAACTCTGATACACCACTACTCATTGGCACAAACACACTCGATCCTTTGTATGAGCAATTGTCTGCCAATAACTTACCTGATTCCAAGGCACTCTCTTATGGGTACCAACACGTGCTAAAAGCCTTAGCAGTCAGAAAAAAACAAAGCAAAGATGGACGAGTTGGTGTGGTGAAGCTTCGAGGGAGAACCCAAGAAGTTCTCCCTGCAAATAAAAAACTGTTACTAGAAGGGTTTATGCAACCCAGCCAAAACAAGCATGAGCCTTATGCACTCATTGAACAACCCACCAATGGTTCTCTACCAGGGGGTATAATTGTAGACTGTTGCCTCATTT